AGTAGAGACGGGGTTTCACCATGTTGACCAGGATGGTCTCGATCTCTTGACCTTGTGATCCACCCGCCTCAGCCTCCCAAAGTGCTGGGATTACAGGCTTGAGCCACCGCACCCAGCCCCAGAGTCTATTCTAAATATAGATTACTTAAATCATCTGTGTAGCCTTGTACATGACATATTAGTCTCTGATGGGAGGCTGGTCGGGGGAACCTTGAGAATCCCTTTCACCCTAATTCTAGTCCAAAGATTTTCTAAACAATAAAGTCCAGGCATAGGGGTTCATGCCTGTATTCCCAGCACTTTGGGAGACCTAGGTGGGAGCACTGCTTGAGTCCAGGAGTTCAAGACCAGTCTGGGCAACAGAACAAGACCCCATCTCTACAAAAAAAAATTTTTTTTAAATAAGCCAAGCATAGCAGTGCATGCCTATAGACCCAGCTGCTTGGGAGGCTGAGGCGGAAGCTTGCTTGAGCCCAGGAGTTTGAGACTGCAGTGGGCCATAATCGTGCCATTGCACTCCGGCCTGGGTGACAGAGCGATAATTTGTCTCAAAAAAAAAAAATTCTTTTCGAATGTCTGTCCTCTGCAGCTTCTGCAGCAGTGTGCCCTCCAGAGTTTCTCCGTTTAACTTCACCATTTTCCTTCGCCTTCCCAGGTTCAAGTCAGGGCGTAAGGTGGTGGCCCTGCAGGCTCTGTCCTTAGCGCTCTTCTCTTCTCCCTCTCTGTTCTCCCTGGACTTTATGACTTTTTATTTTTTTGAGGCAGGTCTCACTCTGTCACCCACGCTGCCGTGCGGTGGTGTGATCTCTACTCCCTGCAATCTCTGACTCCCAGGTTCAAGCGATTTTCCTGCCTCAGCCTCCTGGGTAGCTGGGACTGCAGGTGCATGCCACTCTGCCTGGCTAAGTTTTGTATTTTTAGTAGAGACAGGGGTTTTGCCCTGTTGGCCAGGCTGGTCTTGAACTCCTGGCCTCAAGTGACCTGCCCGCCTCAGCCTCCCATTGTGCTGGGATTACAGGCGTGAGCCACCGTGCCCGGCCTCTCCCTGGACTTTCATTAAACCATGTCTTCAACTACCACCTTTATACGGGCATATGTTTTGCCCTTATATTTAGCTCTGACCTTTTTCTGAGGCTCTAAAGCCTTTTCTGTACCAGGAAGTTAAAGTTTAGACTTCTGAGTCTGGCCCTGGGCCCCTCTTAGTCTGAACTCCTGATGCACTGCCAGGCCGCTGGGCCAGGCCATGGGGTATCGTCCAGTAGGTTATGTGCTGCTTCCGCCCCCTTGTCTTTGCTCCTACTCCTCCTTCTGCATCACGAACCTCTCTCCTTGTCGCCACCTCCCTCTCCTGCCAGCACATGCCAAATCGATGCCCTGCCCTTCGACAACCCCCTTAGAGGGCCATTTACCTGTCAGAGTCAGCTCAAATACCTATACTTCCTTGAAGCCTTCTTTCTTTTCTTTTCTTTTTAGTTAGACTCAGGGTCTTGCTCTGTTGCCCAGGCTGGAGTGCAGTGGCACAATCTCAGCTCACTGCAGCCTCCACCTTCTGAATTCAAGCGATTCTCCTGCCTCAGCCTCCCAAGTAGCTGAGACTAATGGCGTGCACCGCCACACCCAGCGAATTTTTTGTATTATTGTTTTTAGTAGAGATTCGGTCTCTCTATGTTGCCGAGGCTGGTCTCAAACTCCTGGCCTCAAGCAATCCTCCTGCCTTAGCCTCCCAAAGTGCCGGGACTACAGGCACGAGCCACTGCGCCCAGCCTGAAGCCCTGTTTCATAGACAAGGCTAAACATTTTTCCTGTGTGCCTGTACAGCCTTCTGCACATCTCCACTTCAACCCTTGCTTTCTTGCTACAGTTATTAGGTGAAAAATAATTGAATATTTGTTCAACATCAATGTTATATATACATATATATTTTGTGTGTGTGTGTGTGTTAGATGCAGTCTTGCTGTGCCGCCCAGGCTGGAGTGCAGTGGGGTGATCTTGGCTCACTGCATCCTCTGCCTCCTGGGTTCCAGCAATTCTCCTGCCTCAGCCTCTCGAGTAACTGGGATTACAGGCACCCGGCCTCAACAGCAAATATATTTAAAAGTTGGTACTAGCCAGGCGCAATGCCTCACACCTCTAATCCCAGCACTTTGGGAGGCTAAGGTGGGTAGATCACCTGGGGTCAGGAGTTCAAGACCAGCCTGGCCAACGTGGTGAAATCCCATCTCTACTAAAAAATTTTTTAAAATAAGCGGGGCATGGTGGCAGGTGCCTATAATCCCAGCTACTCAGGAGACTGAGACGGGAGAATCATTTGAACCCGGGAGGTGGCGTTTGCAGTAAATCAAGATCGTACCACTGCCCTACAGCCTGGGCAACAGACTAAGACTCCATCTAAGAAAGAAAAAAAAAAAAGAAATTGGTGTAGTGTGGGAAGTTAAAAAAAAAAGGAAAGAAAAATGAATGAATCCATGAGTTCACTCTTACATGGGCTACACTGGCTTACAACAGCAAGATGGGCTCTTGTCATAATTTCATTTAATGTCTTTAAATACATTTATCTTTTTTTCTTGTAGGAGGAAAATTCATCCAAGGATGGTCTCCCACTCAGAGCTGAGGAAGCTTTTCTCCTCAGCAGATGCAGTGTGTTTTGATGTCGACAGCACGGTCATCAGAGAAGAAGGAATTGATGAGCTAGCCAAAATCTGTGGCGTTGAGGACAAGGTGTCAGAAATGTAGGCACAGCATCTATTCACTTTATAAAATGATAGAGAATTTCTACAGAGTGGTTGTTTTGGATGAAGTGTTAGACCCTGGCTATGGAACAGGAACACTAGGCTTTTTCTTTCATCCCTTAGCGATTTTGATACAGTCATTGGTTTATATAAATATTTACGGTAAACAAATATGAATAAGACAAATTCCTACCTTGATCAGGAGACTGACAGCAGTCACTAACCCAAGAAGATGGCCCGTGGGGCGGGGCCCACCTGTCCAGCGGATTTGCGTCACGGTTGGAAGAGTGGGCTCGGCGGTTCCCTGGAAAGGTTTACCATCTCTTGGTGGACCCTGGGTCAGAGCCCCTTCCTCCCTCTGCCCTCCCACCCTGCAGCTGGGCATCTCCTTTGCAGCCCCAGTCCCCCGGTCATGCACAATGTCATTTTCTTTTTTTCTCTCGAGACAGAGTCTTGCTCTGTCACCCAGGCTGGAGTGCAATGGCACAATCTCACTCACTGCAACTGCTGCTTCCTGGATTCAAGCGATTCTCCTGCCTCAGCCTCCTGAGTAGCTGGGACTATGGGCGCATACTACCATGCCCGGCTAATTTTTGTACTTCTAGTAGAGACAGGGTTTCACCATGTTGGCCAGTCTGGTCTTGAACTCCTGACCTCATGATCCCCCTGCACTGGCCTCCCACAGTGCTGAGATTACAGGCGGGAACCACCTCGCCCAACCACCATTTCGTTTTTAACTGCCATTCATGCAAGAACGTTTAGCCTTTGGTTTCTTTCTTGATTTATGACAGCTCACGGCTTTCAAGAAAACAACCTATAGATAGGCTGTGTGGTTTGTTTTTTTTGTTTTAGACGGAGTTTACTCTGTCATCCAGGCTGGGTTGCAGTGGCATGATCTCAGCTTACTGCAACCTCCATCTCCCAGGTTCAAGCAATTCTACCTCAGCCTCTCGAGTAGCTGGGATTACAGGCCTGCACCACCATGCCCAGCTAATATTTGCATTTTTTAAGTAGAGATGGGGTTTTGCCATGTTGGCCAGGCTGGTCTCGAGCTCCTGGCTTCAGGTGATCTGCCCACCTCAGCTTCCCCAAGTGCTGGGATTATAGGCATGTGTCACTGCACCCGGCCTATTATTGTATTTTCAAGCAAACCTTCAAAAGTTTATTACAAGGCCTTGCTCTCTTAGCAGCAAAGGATGTCTGTTGCACAGTGGGGCTCTTGGTAGCATCTTCCTTTTGGTGGATGTTGTGCAGACCTGGGCAGTTAGGCATGTCAACATTGAGGAAGGCAGACCGGTCTGGCCTGACTGTTGGGTCTCCCTCCTAGGACACGGCGAGCCATGGGCGGGGCAGTGCCTTTCAAAGATGCTCTCACGGAGCGCTTAGCCCTAATCCAGCCCTCCAGGGAGCAAGTGCAGAGACTCATAGCAGAGCAACCCCCACACCTGACCCCCGGCATAAGGTAAGAGGAGCCCTTGCCCCAGGTGTATTTCAGCATCAGTGTGGGGGGACATCCTCCTGAGGGCATTTAACTGTTGGTTTAGAGTGCCCTCTGGGTGTGTTATTTTCATTTTTATTTTTATTATTTTATTATTTATTTATAGATTACTCAGTCTCGGGTACGTTATTTTATTTATTTCAGACAAAATCTTGCTCTGTTGCCCAGGCTGCAGTGCAGTGGTGTAACCTCAGCTCACTGCAACTTCTGCCTCCCAGGTTCACAGGATTCTCCTGCCTCAGCCTCCCAAGTAGCTGGGATTACAGGCACCCACGACCACACCTGGCTAATTTTTGTATTTTTAATAGAGACGGGTTTCACCATGTTGGCTAGGCTGGTCTTGAACTCTTGACCTCAAGTGATCCACCTGCCTCGGCCTCCCAAAGTGCTGGGATTACAGGTGTGAGCCACCACGCCTGCCCTATTATTATTTTTTTTAGAGTCAGAGTCTCATTCTTTGCCCAGGTTGGAGTACAGTGGTATAATCATGGCTCACTGCAGCCCCAAACTCCTGGGGTCAAGTGGCCCTCCTACCTTTGAGAGATGGGGTCTTGCTTCGTCACCCAGGCTGGAGTGCAGTGGCATGAACACAGCTCCCTGCAGCATCAACCTTCTAGGCTCAAGGGATCCTCCTGCCTCAGCTTCCTAAGTAGCTGGGACTTAGTCCACCATGCCTAATTAGAAAAAAAAAATGTATAGAGACAGGGTCTCACTATGTTGCCCAGGCTGGTCTTGAATTTGTGGGCTCAAGTGATCAATTTTCTCACCTGAGCCTTCCAAAGTATTGACATTTTTTGGGGGGGATGGGTGGAGTCTCACTCTGACACTCTGGCTGGAGTGCAGTGGCGAGATCTCAGCTCACTTCAACCTCCACCTCCCGGGTGCCAGCAATTCTCCTGCCTCAGCCTCCCATGTAGTTGGGACTACAGGTGCGTGCCACCACGCCTGGCTGATTTTTTAGTAGAGACAGGGTTTTACCACATTGGCCAAGCTGGCCTTGAACTCCTGACCGCAAGATCCATCCGCCTCGGCCTCCCAAAGTGCTGGGATTACAGGCGGGAGCCACTGCATGCAGCCTTTTTGTTGTTGTTGTGTTTTGAGATGGACTTTCACTCTTGTCACCCAGGATGGAGTGCAATGGTGCTATCTTAGCTCACCACAGCCTCCTCCTCCCGGGTTCAAGCGTTTCTCCTGCCTCAGCCTCCCGAGTAGCTGGGATTACAGGAGCCCACAATGACGCCTGGCTAATTTTGTATTTTTAGTAGAGACGGGGTTTCTCCACGTTGGTCAGGCTGGTCTCGAACTCCCAACCTCAGGTGATCCACCTGCCTTGGCCTCCCAAAGTTCTGAGATTACAGGCGTGAGCCACCGTGCCCAGCCAAGTATTGAAATTATAGGTTTGAGCCACTATATCCAGCCTTTAAAATTTTTTTTGCAAAGATGAAGTCTTTTTTTTTTTGAAACAGAGTCTTGCTCTGTTGTCCAGGCTGAAGTACAATGGAGCGATCTTGGCTCACTGCAACCTCCGCCTCCTGGGTTCAAGCAATTCTCCTGCCTCAGCCTCCCGAGTAGCTGGGATTACAGGCATGCACCACCACACCCAATTAATTTTTTTGTATTTTTAGTAGAGACGGGGTTTCACCGTGTTAGCCAGGATGGTCTTGAACTCCTGACCTCGTGATCCGCCTACCTCAGCCTCCCAAAGTGCTGAGATTACAGGCGTGAGCCACTGTGGCTGGCCGAGATAAAGTCTTGCTATTTTGCCCAGGTTGTTCTCAAGCTCCTGGCCTCAGGTGACTTTCCACCTTGGCCCCCCAAAATGCTGGAATTAAAGGTGTGGCCATGTGGTCCTTCTGGCTCTTACACGTGGTCTTGTCTGTCGGGTTGTCTGGTTCTGTCTGTTTCTGCCTTTCCTCTTTCTCCTGGGAAAACCCAAGCTTTCCCTGTTTGTCTTCATCTTGTGTTTTTCTGGGTCCATGGGCAGAGTAGGCTTCTGGAGTAGTTTCCTAAAGCAGCCAAGCCCTACCCACTGATTTCGAAGTGCATTTAGAAAAACATATATAAAACACTAACTCCCCAGGCAATATACCTTGTCAGATTTACCTCAGGCAAATGCATCAGGAGAAGAAAATATATCTTAGTTTCCTCTTCGTGTTTCATTTTTTTTCCCTTTTGTATTACTCAGTGTTCGGTATTTTGTATTTTATTTTTGCAGGGAGCTGGTAAGTCGCCTACAGGAGCGAAATGTTCAGGTTTTCCTAATATCTGGTGGCTTTAGGAGTATTGTAGAGCATGTTGCTTCAAAGCTCAATATCCCAGCAACCAATGTGTTTGCCAATAGGCTGAAATTCTACTTCAACGGTAAGACTTTAAAGGTAACATCTGCCCTTTCTTACCAGTTCTATTATGCAGTATTCTGGGTAATGCCTGTTGGAATGCACTTAAGTAGTCACATCAGAGTTACATATTGGGATGAACGGTTCTCTTAACTGGTATCTTTTGCCCTTCGGTGCCCTTTGCTCAGCAAAATAGACTTAGGCCATCACCTGCCCTAGTTTCAGTATCTATAACATCATCCGTCTGTATATAAATTCTGCATTTAGTAAGACATTAATTCCTACGTAGCCCCTATGACTTACTTTGTTATATGTTATATTTCAACTTCATGGGAGCTCCTATGCATTTGAAGCAACTTAGACTCAAGAAGGAGACTCTTGTCTGTTCATGGTGGCTCATGCCTGTAATCCCAGCACTTTGGGAGGCTGAGGCAGGTGGATCACCTGAAGTCAGGAGTTCAAGACCAGCCTGGCCAACGTGGCGAAACCCTGCCTCTACTAAAAATACAAAATTAGGCCAGGTGCGGTGGCTCACGCCTATAATCCCAGTACTTTGGGAAGCCAAGGTGGGCGGAACACGAGGTTAGGAGTTTGAGACCAGCCTGGCCAACATGGTGAAACCTCATCTCTACTAAAAATACAAAAATGCAGTAGCTTTGAAGGTAAAATTTAAAAAAATAAAAAAAATACAAAAATTAGCCAGATGTGTTGGTGGGCACCTGTAATCCCAGCTACTCAAGAGGCTGAGGCAGGAGAATTGCTTGAACCGGGCAGGCGGAGGTTGCAGTGAGCCGAGATCGCGTCATTGCACTCCAGCCTGGGCAACAGAGAGAAATTCTTACTCAAAAAAAAAAAAAAAATTAGCTGGTTGTGGTGGTGTATACCTGTAGTCTCAGCTACTTGGGAGGCTGGGGCAGACAAATCACTTGAAGCCAGGAGGTAGGGGCTGCAGTGAGCCAAGATCACACCACTGCACTTCCAGCCTGGGTGGCAGAGGGAGACCCTGTCTTTAAAAAAAAAAGGGGGGGGGAGACTTTAGAAGGGAGACTTTTGTTAACGGGTTACTGAACTACAGCTGCCCTTAGGGAAGCCTGTCCCCTCTCTGGTCCATAACGGTGCCACAGCTGTTATATCATCTCAGACCTCCAGTTATATCAAGGAGTGACTGATAGTGTTCTTTTTGTTTTGTTTTGTTTTGTTTTGTTTGAGACAGGGTCTCAGTTTGTTGCTCCAGCTAGAGTGTGTGGCTCGATCTCGGCTCACTGCAACCTCTGCCGCCTGGGTTCAAGCAATTCTTCTGCCTCAGCCTCCCGAGTAGCTGGTATTACAGGCACCTGCCACTACGCCTGGCTAATTTTTTTATTTTTTTAGTAGAGTCTGGCTTTTACCACACTGGTCAGGCTGTTCTCAAACTTGTGACCTCAGGTGATCCACCTGCCTTGCCTGCCCTGCCAAGGGGGTTGATGTACTTAAAACCAATTTTTTTTTTTTTTTTTTTTTT